GGGGGGGGGAGAAGATATGCAAGATGATAGTGAGATATGTCTAAATACATAACCATGACACGTGATGGACGTGTTGCGGCCGCTGTCTACGGGGGTCTCGACGAGCAGAGGCCCGGTCAGGGCCCGCGGCACCCCGCTACGCGCTATGCATCAACACCCAGGATCCATCCCATTATACCTCATCAAAACAACAAACACGCCTTCCACGCTAAACCAACATCCTTTTGTTCCCATCGAATCCCGCGTATCCATCAGGATCGCCGCGCGAAGGGTACACGTCAGTGCCGCGATCTCTTCGACGGGGGGTCCTCGCGGCGTGAGGGAGGAGGGCAAGAAGCAGAAGGAATTCGAGGAGATCTTGTGAAATGTTATTAATGCCGCGGGGTCAGAGGGATAAGCACGCTCGGGAAACGTCCTCCTGTAGATTTGTACCTGTCTTCGTCTCGTCTCGAGGAATGTACAAGGAATGAACGACGAAAGACGTTGATTCGTGGTAGAAAAGCGCATGCTGCGATATAAATAATCCGGGTGCTCGTCGGCATGCACCCGGCGAATAAGGGGGAGAGTCTCGGGTTCCTACCGCGGAACGAACGACGGGTTTGGGAAAATTGGGCATCGACTTCGGAATTCTCTCGGGGATGAGTTATCTCGTCAGGGCAAAACCGTTCAGTCATTTCAATTGATTTCAATTTGTAGAAACAAAGAGATTTAAATCATTCAAGCAAAATATCATATAATTGTACAAAGATATGATAAGAAGATATGATGATTAATAAGAGATCGTAGAAACTGACAGATGTACCAGTGCAATTAAATGATATTATTTATAATTTAAAAAATAGTTATTTAACATTTGATTTTTAGTGTAGAGTATAAAATATGAATGTATAGATATTTATTAATTTTTGGACATCGATTTAATAAATAAATTTTTGTTTTTAATTTCATTGGTTTAATTAATTTTTTTGGTACGTATGGTATGATACTGATGTACTTTAGTATTCTAGATCGTTCCTAGATGGCAGCACGTGATACTTACAGGAAAAATTGTAACTCGAAATTGCTACAATTATGAGAATTTAACTCTAGTAATAACTCTTAAAATTATCATCAACAATTTAATTTCAAGTTTACAAAATTGCGGTTACATGACTAGCGAATCTTTTGTAAAAAATTTGAAATTATAGAATATAATTGCAACATATTGTTTTAAATATAACAACGTACGAAGTTTATAGTTTATCTGGAAAGCCAATCTTTCCTAGATAATCACGAAAATGGATAATCACGATTTTACGAGCGCTCCTGCGATTTCTCGCGCTTTCTCACGCTCTCTTGTGTATAAAAGAGAAGAGCGAAATGGCTTCCGAAAGGCTGTTCGAACGGAGTCGATCGATCAACGATGAGGCACGGTTGTATCGAGAAGAACGGCTGACAGTTTATTGCCAATCATATACAACCATAATCGGGGGATGGCATCGAATGCGCGTGACCCCAATAATCCATAATGGCTCACTCGCTACGGTCGACATGTCAATCTGGCCACATATCTTTTGGCCACGCATTCTCCTTCCACCATTTATTAGACGATTAGCGGCACTTCGCGTCGCGGCATTTCCACCTTTCCCTATTAAGCCCTTATCGCAATAGCTTCGTTCCGCATCTCTCATTCTTCAAGATTTTTATAATATAAGCTTAATATTATGTAATACATAAGTCTCAATGTAGTATATAAAAATAATTTGTTAGAATATTCTAGAGTTCTAAGAGCGTAGATTTGAAACTGTTAATAGCGAAACTCCCTCCCGTCTCTTAACAATCAAGGAGACAAGCACGATTTATAGGCAACATTCACGATCTCATTAATATTCAAGGATTCTCCGAGAGATAACTCGTGGAACATCGATAGTGCAAAAAAAGTGCGTAATCGTGTAACTCAACGAGTAGCGTGGAAATTAAGCGCAATTGCTAGCCGATAGCTTTAAAGAGAAGAAAGAAAGACAGGATAACGATAACGTGAGACTGCAACC